ATCGCCGCCCTGGAGGCCAAGATCATCCAGCTGGAGGAGCAGCTTGACATCGAGACCAAGTACAGCAACACACAAACACACAGACATAGAGGCTTATATAGACATGTTTAGACGGTTTACCGTGCAATATGTGCATTTTATTATTCAAAAATATACAAATAAATAATGAAATAAAGTAAAATAAAGTTCAAATAAAATAAGTTCAAATACAAAATGTATATAATTAATAGTCAATCTGTTTTTTTTCTATTTATCACAATACAGATACAAATCAGGCGCAACAAAAAATACATTTCCTTTTTTGACAGAAAAATATAGTCATGTTTGGACATTTTAGACTACTTAACATAAAATATATGTTATTTATTATTCAGAAAATATACAAATAAATATTACATTTACTTACATTTCAGATTAAAAGCACATAACATGCATTTTGGTCTGACAATAAAAATCTATAATATTAATAAATCATGTTTACTTTTAAGTCAACAAATATAAGTTGTATACAATTAATGTTTAATCATTTTTTTTATTAATCAAGATACAGATACAAATCAACAACAACAAAAAACACAAATACATACACAAATATTTACATAGAAATATATACACATTTAGACATTTTAATTAACAATTAATCTATTTTTTTTATTAATCACAATACAGATACACAAATACATACATGCGCATTTATCTACAGTGAAACATATTTAGACATTGTAGACTATTTACCATACAAGATATGTATTTTGTTATTTAAAAAAAGAATACAAATAAATGTATACATTAACTAATTGTATTTTAACTAAATGAAAATGTACTTCATGGAATTTCAGATTACAGGCACATCATTAACCTACTAATTTATGGAATTAATAATTCAGCTATTTTTATTAATCACAATAGAGATACAAATCAACAACAAAAAATACAAATACATTTATTTACGTAGAAATGTATACAAATATTTAGATATTTTAGACCATTTACACTACAAGATAGGCATTTTATTATTTGTAAAATATACAAATATATAAATCAAATTAATAAACTAAATTTGAAAATAACTCGATAAATGAAATGTACATTGCCATAATTAAAATACAAACTTTTTTTTATCAATTACCTACTAACTTGTACATTTAGGTCTAAAAATAAAAATATAGTATACAATTAATAATTCATCAGTTTTTTATTAATACATAGACAGAAATGTGTGGTTTTAGACTACTTGCCATACAAGATATGTTTTACAATTCAGAAAAGGTACAAAAAAAAATTTAGGTACATCAGAAAATAACTCAATAAAAGAAAATTAAAGTGGAAATATAATTAAATTAGAAAATAACAAATTTACTACAATTTTCAGATTAATTGCCCATCAACGTTTAGGTCTACAAATAAGAATGTACACAATAATTCATCTATTTATAACAGTAGGGAAAAGCTCAAAGTAATAAATGATGTTTGTGTTCAGAGAGCGACAGCAGGCCTCAAAACTGGTGCGTCGTACGGAGAAGAAGCTGAAGGAGGTGATTCTGCAGGTGGACGACGAGAGACGCAACACGGAGCAGTTTAAAGATCAGGTGATGCTCGCTACAAACCCTGTGTCAGTCACACCGCTCGAGGTTAAAGTTTAGCGATGTTAACGCTTGTTTGTGATTGGCTGCAGTCTGATAAGCTGAACAGCCGCATGAAGCAGCTGAAGCGGCAGCTGGAGGAGGCCGAGGAGGAGGCGCAGAGAGCAAACGCCAACCGCAGGAAACTACAGCGGGAGCTGGAGGATGCCTCTGAGTCCGCCGACGCCATGAACCGCGAGGTCAACAGCCTGAAGAGCAAACTCAGGTGCGTCAAAACACGCCGTCGCTGCACGATAACACTTCAACTGATGATCGCAATATTAGAATTGAGATTATTAATTATTTATTTTTACATTTCGTCAGAATTATTCCACATTCACATCAGTGTTATCAACGTTAACTAAACTAATTAAAACCATTTTAAAAATGTATTTTCATTACTTGGGAAAAAAAATTCAGCTAGATGCTAAGGTAACATTTCTTATTTTCGTTTTGTTTGACTTTAAGTACTAAAATATCTAAAAAGTAAATTGGAATGAATAAAAACTATATAGACATATTAAAATGATATACATTTCTAATTTTCGTTTAGAAATAAGTTGAAGTACTAAAATAACTAGAACCGTAAAAAAATGAAGAATAAAAAATTCATTACTTGAATTAAAATTAATTTCCGCTAAATGAGAAGACAATTTCTCATTTTCATTTAGATAAACTTTAAGTACTAAAATAACATTTAAAAATCACTTATTTAAAAAAAATCTTTCATTTTATTTAAAGTATTACCCCAAAACAAAATCAAGACTTTGTAAAAGACCATAATAGGACCCCTTTAAAATAACTAAAACAAAACAAAAAAAAAGACAATTTTGAAAAAAAAAGTTTGTTACTTGAAATAAAACAAATGTTAACAAAAATAAAACGCATTATAGCTAAAATTGAGATTGATGCCAGATCATATTTATAATTTTTGTTTTGTTTAGTTTAAGTTGAAGTACTAAAATAAACTAAAACTGAAATAAAAATGAATAAAAAAATATAAAAATGCATATTAAAGATTATAGACATTTGAATAATTAATTACATTTTGAAGTTCAATTACTAAAAATGCTACAACTAAAACTGAAATTTATTTTAAGAAATTAATTACAAAACTGGATATTTAAAAAAAAAGATTATTTTTTTTTTTTTGTTTAATTTGACACACACACACACACACACACACACACACACACACACACACACACACACACACAAAAGTCTTGGACGACAACGTCCACGGAAACTCAGAGATACTTCGTCGATTTTTGTTTTTTGTTCTTATTTTAGTGCCATAGTGTATTCGCACACACACAATGGTTCTCCTGACAATCACACACATGACAGCTTCACTCTCACCGAGGACCAAATTTGTGTTTTCATGTCATTGTCTAGAATAGAAAAAGAACGGAATGATATTTTTGTAAGGACGCATTCCGTCAATTGTAGTCCCGATTCTGGATCTATTTTTCTAACTGAAGTAAAAGGATTAAAAAATGGTAAAGAAGAGAACTTATTGAAGGGGACCAAAGCAAAATTGCTTTCTACAAAACTGTATTTTATTCATACTTTTTATAATGGTATAAGGATGAACATAGCGCTCGCTCTCTTGCACCTCTGCTGGTAAATAAAAGATTGTGATGATAATTACAGATACTATCGTACAGTTACGCTTTTGGGCTTTACACATGAATAAAGCATTTAGTAAATCAAACCAGCACCGAAAATATTAGAGATTTTCACGCCACCGTATATGCACATGAAATGGGGAAAGACTGTTTGAGCAATAAAATAGAGGTGTTTATGGCACTGTTGCAGCAGATTGAAGGAATAAGGATCGAGTAGGCAACGCACGAACTCATTTAGACATGGCACTATGCACTATCGCCTTAAATCTACTATTTGGATACATTCTGTTCCTCTTTTGCTTTCAGTATATGTGTCTTTATTAATGTTCAGGGCATGAATGGTGGAGGGTTGACGGTTTCTCTCACGCACGCACTGTTAACGCTGAGCACGGCTGCGCAGGAGTGGGAATCGACCGTTTGGCGGGAGTTTTAAAACATGGAACACTTCCATGGCTACCTCTGATCACGTTTATCACTCTGTGACATATTTCTGAAAGAACTAAGGAGAATGGATTTGAACGGGACGTCGGCGATAGCGATCTCCCTCCTCGAAGCTCGTGCTCAGTTTCTGCTTTTTTCGCTCACTCTGCTGGGAAGTGAGAGAAATGTACTATTATTGATTATGTATGGATAGATAGAGCATTTCTCTCTCTTATTCTCATCGCCTCCCAATAATGACTTTGTGATGTTGTGTTATGTTCTCTGTCTCTGCAACTCCTTAATGATATCTGGAGAGATTTGTCGTAAATCGTTGGTATAATGATGCAATAAAATGGCTTTTTCAAAACACTTTTAGCAAGTGTATGATTTTTTTTTCTTTTCTTTCCTGGTTTTCTAACATTAGTTACAGTTAAAAACAAAAGTAGCAATTTGGCCTGGGCCAAAATGACCCCACTGCTTTCAACTATTTACCAAAGATTTTAGTCCTATAAAATAATTTGTTTTTTAACATCAAATAAGTAAAAGCCATCACCCAATGTTCGATTATAAGAGGAAACTAACTTTAATAACCGTGGTTCCTTAGCATCTCCTTCACTGACCGTCTTTCCCAAATATTTGTTGATAATCTTCTGAAAATCCACATTTTCTCTTTCATTATTTAGTCTGAATATTAATGAAACGGTAGCCTACAATCTGTTTTGGCAGTTACTGAGCTCTACCACGAGAGTGTGCACACTGACCGCCTCAGTGCAGAGCAGAAGGGGCCCAAACTGGTCCTGAGCGGATTTATCTGCTTTACACTGGAGCTAATCTATACCCTTTCAATCTGTAACGAGATTCGCTTTTACTAGTGACAGATAAGTTTTGTTGTATGTCATTGTTCTCTATTCTTATTCTCAGACAAATACTTCATGCATTCTAAATCTGTCTGACATAACTTCGGTTAGGACTATTCTGCTTTAAATAGATCGAATCAATAGTTATTATTATTATTATTATATATAAAAATATATATATTCTGCTTTAAATAGATTTAATAAATTGTCATTAGTTATATAATAGTCAACATTTGAAGTGGATCAAAAAAGTTAATCAAAGTTGTCCTAAGACAAGAACGCATTTTGGTTTTAGCTTTTAGGACAACTTTGATGAAAGGTTTTGATCCACTTCAAATGCTGACTACTGTATATAATATATATTAGTGTTATTTCTCAACCTTTACATTTGGCCACTGGTCTTGCAAGCGCTAGCTGGTTATTAGCCAATCAAATTCGGTTTACTACGCACCTTGCATCAGGCCCCACCCCTTTCTTTTATACCTGTGGAGCGCGTGAACAGCAAGACACAGCTAGCAGCGCTTTACACAGTGCTGATCATCAATTTGACTTCTAGTTCTCGTCGGTATTCTTCTTCTCTTATTGTTCTTATTTCTAAGATTCCCAGTCACGGGAATATTTTTTGCTTTTGGAGTAACATTGACCAAAACCCCATTTTGTAGATGATGCTCATGAACACCCGCCGCGGGTCATAGAGTAAGAAGAGGTGAGCTGATCTTTTACTTAGGAACAGTTTATTTACGACTAGTTTATAGGCCTACGTTTAGTTACTTTTTCTGATTTTTACTTAAAAACTCAAAAGCCCACGCACGTGCTCCTCACGTGAGAAGGCGCGCATGATGAGACTGAGGCACGGTGCGCACAGAATAATAAACACTGCGTGATTGTGTTTGGGGAGAGAAACGTGATTAAGTTTGCGAAATGAAAGAGATGCTGTCAGTTATTCATTCTCAGATCGCTGGTGTTTTCAGAAACTGAGCTGCTCTGAAGAACAAAACTGACTGAACACCTCAAACATCATGGAGTTCTCACTGGTAAGAGTCTGTGTGTGTGTTTTAATGCGTTTTCAAACCTGTCAAACGTTTTTACACACCGAACTTCTCTCTCTCTCTCTCTTGCTTTTTACAATTTAATAATGGATATAGAGACCTTTAAATACAGGTGGGGCATTAATAACTGCATATGTGAAGTTGATTGTGATGGATCTCTAAACATTTATGTATGAAAATGATTATATGATGTGTTTATTGTTTTTTGATACGGAAACATGTTTTCTTTTGGGTTGTTATATTTTCAGTTTTTTTTACTTTATATATTTAAACACAAAAAAAAATGTTTAATGTTTTCTGGTGATTACAGAGATGTTAAAAGTCAAAACTCTCTCTCTCTCTCATTCTCTCTCTCTCTCTCTCTCTCTCTCTCATTCTCTCTCGTTCTCTCTCTCTCTCATTCTCTCTCTCTCTCTTTACTTATAAAGCCGTTTCGCCGATAAACTTTACTCGCACGCAAATCGTTTGTGTTTTCTGGCAAAAGTATTGCGTTTACCTGAGAAACAAAATGTTTGAAATATAGTTTTTCTTTCTCCTTTTACATTATACCAAAATGTTGCGAACTCTTTTGGGAATTTGAGTTTTGCGAGTGAAGTGGAACACAAACATTGTTTTCTTTTCTTTCCATCTTATGTTTTTCCATCACCATGTCCAGTTAGGGGTCCCGTAGACGTTTAACCCATTGTGCTCTGTATATACACTAAATAATCCAATATAATGGTGATTGTTTGACTGATGTCAATATTGAGCTGAAACGTATAATTGTGTCTGTTCTGCAATCTCCTTCTGACCTCTTGACTTGATCAGGTGTTCTGACAAATAATGCTAACTATCAGATTATGCTACCAACACTGTATCCTACTGCAAGGGTAGGTTTGGGGTTGGGGTGTACATGTTAATAAAGCCTCACACCTAATTAATATAATGCTGGCCTGGAAGCAAAATCTGAAGGGTAGCACTTTTCGTTATCGAATTATGCTACCATCTGTTTTACACCGGTCACCTCAACTTGCTCCATTTCTCGTATCGTATCAGTCGTGTTATCAGGTTAGTGACACCGCAGCTCTGACTGTGCAACATTGTCTCTACTCACGCGGTTTAACATGTTCATTGCGTATAATCATAGTTATGGTAATATGCGGTTGAAGACCTAAGCGGGGTGTTTTCAGAGAGTTTGTTGTTTACCTAAAGCGTTTGCAGAAGTGAAGTAGCCAATTCTTTTGTAACTGAAGGGGGCAGGCTTTAGCCGAGCCTCTTGTTTTCTTGCGTTCTGATTGGTCCGTGTGAAGCGGGGCTCGTTTAATGTTAAACACTCGGTTGCCATGGCTCTGGTCTAAAGAGGCGGGGCTGCCACGGAGGAGATAAACTGAAACTATCACATTCATATCATTAACTTGTGAAATCATTTCCCTTATCAGTGTTTATATGATGGCCAAAATACACCCCAAATAAAACTAATTTTGTAACAGTGTTATTAGTATCATACTGCTATAGTTTTTTTTTATATTTCCTATTTTCATTTTAGTTTTAGCAAATGTTTTGTTTTGTCACTTGTATTTTATTTTCTTAAAAAATGTTTTATTTTAGCTTCAGTTTTAATTTGAGTAAAATTTAGTACTTAAGTACTTCAAAGTAAATGCAAAATGTAGTACTTCAGAAATGATAAATGTTGCCTTGGCAAGTAGATGAAATAAAATAAGTTATTTTTTTATTTTATTTATTATTACTTGATTTATTGCATTGTTTATTTCAGTTAATTTTAATTAAAAATGTTTTTTTTTACAGATTAAGTGTATGCTTTTAATTAACAATAGCCGTTTTGTAAACAAATATAAAAAAAAGATTTAAAGCATTGTGATATGCTGAAATCCATCTAAAATCAAAATAAACAACCATTTCTTTATAAGTCTTGTGTAATCAGATGTGATTAAAGCAGCTTTTAACTGACTGCAGGGTTAAATATATTGTATTTTAAATATGTTGTTGCCACTCAACAGGTTTCTCACTTTCTCTCTGTGTGATTTAGGCTCATCCGGCTGTGAAAGCATTCATGTGTGGCTCTCTGAGCGGGACGTGCTCCACGCTGCTCTTCCAGCCTCTGGACCTGGTGAAGACGCGTCTGCAGACCCTACAGAACGGCGTCCAGCCCGGGTCAGTCCACACACAGGACGAGGTTCAGTCTGGCTGAATGAGTGTTAAATGAACTGTCTTCTGTGCCTCAGGTCGGGTCGGGTTGGCATGGTCACAGTCTTTGTAAGTGTCCTGCGGACGGAGAAGCTCCTCGGATTATGGAGAGGCGCTTCGCCTGTGAGTATCACACCTGATTTGGTACGAAACCTCTATTATGTTTCTGTTTGTATGGTTATATTCTGTATTTCTGTCTCCGCAGTCGTTTGTGCGCTGTATTCCAGGAGTCGGCATCTACTTCAGCACATATTTCACTCTAAAGCAGCACTTTTTCGCAAATGGGGCCCCGGGGCCCTTACAGGCCATACTGCTGGGAGCCGGAGCCAGATGTGTCGCAGGAGTCTGCATGCTGCCCGTCACCGTCATCAAAACACGCTTCGAGGTGTGTGTGTGTGTGTGTGTGTGTGTGTGTGTGTGTAAATACTTAATTCTTTTATTGATCGAGGATTCATTAAGTTGATCAAAAGTGACAGTAAAGACATTTATAATGTTACAAAAGATTTATATTTCAAATAAATGCTGTTCTTTTGAACTTCCTATTCATCAAAGCATCTTGAAAAATAAAATGTATCACAGTTTCCAACAAAATAGGAAGCAGCACAACTCTTTTAAACATTGATAATAATCAGAAATGTTTCTTGAGCAGCAAATCAGCATATTAGAATGATTTCTTAAAGGGGTCATATGATGCGAAATTGTTCCTTTCTCTTTGGAGAGTTACAAGCTCTTGGTGCATAAAGAAGATCTGTAAAGTTGCAAAGACTAAAGTCTCAAATCCAAAGAGATATTCTTTATAAAAGTTCAGAGTCAGCCACACCTACC